TATTGTTTACTTATTCTATTTTTTTCCAATGAATCGCACCAATTTAAAAAAAAAATATCAATTAAATAAAAAAGACAAGAAGTCATTAAGGAATAAAAAATCGTAATAATTCAGTACTTTAAACCTTTAAAATTTTAAGATAAATGAATTGTATATTGTTCAGGTTTTGGTGGGTTGAGGAATAACTAAGATTAAGATTGGGCAATGCTATATGTACACCCCTTTTTAATAAATTACACAAAGGACAATGCTATATGTACACCCCTTTTTTACACACAAGGGGGTGTACATATAGACACCCCCTTAAGATTCCCTCAAACTTTATTTACTCTATAGATGTTATAATAAGATGTTCCCCTGATCAACCGCAAGCACATCGCTCGTGTAATCCCGAAACTCGGTGCAGTCGGAGTCGATGTTGGCCGACATCGGTTGACGTGCAACGACCTCCATCAGGGTCGTATCGTTGTTGGAAGGCACTTTCTCGTAGCCTGATATTTCCACGGCAGGTTCGTAAGGCTGGCACGTTTCCCCGGAGCCATCGTGCGAGTAGCTGGAGTTGGTGGCTAGGCCTCCAGCACGGATGGATATAGTCAAACACGGTCCATTCGTTTCCCCCACTACAACGGTCCCCCTCGTCATCGCCGTCGACGAGCTGTTGTACGGAGCGGGATCAAACTGTCAGTCCGAATTTGAACAATGCCCTCCACGGCCGCAGCGACCGTTAATTGTAAGAAATTTAACGGGTATATCCATAACTATTAGGCGGAATTGAATAAACCCTAAGCATGTAATTCTATCAATTCATAGAACATGGATCTTTGCATAAATTAAATTGCACATAAAACTTACAAGAATCCAGCTATAGTCCTTCCCTGTTCATCTATGATGTTGATCTTTCTCCAATCTCCAATCCTCTTCCTCTAATCTCCAATGATGGATTTGTCTTTCCCTATGAATTGTTTCTCTCTCCCTCGTCTCTCGTCTTTCCATAAAGCCCTTGACGTTGAGAACTTTATTTCGTATGAGATGGGAGAGAGGGGCATGTAGTAATATATATAGGAGGAGACCTACAATCCTATTCCTACTAACATTCCCCATGTTCTAACCTAACTTACTGTCCAAGTCAAATATCACACATTGGACTCTTAATATTATAACATTAAATAATCTATTAAATACATATTCATCTTTAATAAAGTTTGACTATTAATTCAATTAGGTCTAACTAATTATATGGTCCACAATAATTGAATAATATATAAAATATTATTACATTCTCCCACTTGGACCATATAAGTGTTGAAACCCAAAGAACTACTTTAAGCGCGCACCTTTCATCAAACTTATGATGAAATACATATAGCTATAAGTTTAAAATTAAAATAGAAATTAACCGAGTCATGGCGGTCACAAGTCTTCGAGCGACATGATCCCTTCCATGTACCACAAATCATTTCTAATTCAACTTTACTTTAATATGGAACAAACCATTCGTACCATAACCATAAGCCATCCAACTTTTATGTATATACTATAAAATCGAATATCCATAATGATGGTATTATATGTGAAGAATCAAACATCTTTTATTGAATTCAATAAGTATCAAATCAATAATTGAGCAATTTCATTCAGTATCGGTCAGTCCAACAAGGCCCCATTCGTTAATCCCAATTTTCTTTATATGCCTTGCAAAGGCTACAGGGAATAACCCTTTAATGGATCCACTTTCATGAAATTAGTACTAAAATACTCAAATGACACTTTGTTTCTTCACTTCTACTTTTACGACCAAGTATTTAAATTTTATGTGATTCACACTCTTTGAATACTTGTCATTTCCTTGAAATATTATTGCTACAAAACTACGTTAATTCTTAGCGGCTTGGACAAGATGTCGACATTTCCAAGTCCTAAGATAAAGCATCGTAGCCCTAATTTTGACTTGTGGCCTCAAAGCATACCACAAACTCAAACTTAATCGTGGAAGTCACGATGATGGACTTTGTTCCACTTTCCATAATCTTGCTCCTTTAAACATTATGAGCAAAAGTCTGAATCCGAGTATCCAATTATAATAAATAATGTGGATATTCTTTAAGTTAGCATGTGTTCTTTAATGCCTTGTAAATACTTTAAAATTTCATTTGCAGCATTTAAATAATCCTTCAGGGATTACATTTATATTTGCTTAACTTACCAGCAAGAAATATGTTATCAAACCAAATACAGGTTCGTCTCGCTTAAGACTCCTAATCATTTATATCTAAGGAATTTTCTCCATCACTTTTCATTCCATTTCGCCTTCGGACATTTATTTAAACTAAATATGTCCCTTTTATGAATTAGAATTATACGGAACAACCATCCATTACCTCTCAAATAAAATTTTAATGGGATAAACTT